TAATATATATATACAGTGTTCCGACCACTCTTGATAAACAGTTGTAAACAAAAAGTGCAGGTTAATTGTCATGCGGCATAGCTACATGTTCTATGCCCAGGGGCAGTTTGAAAACTAGGAAATATTTGGCACGATTAACTTATTGTTTTCGCACGCCTAGCTTACACATCATGTCAGATGATGATTGCATGTTAAATATGAATCTTTTGTAAAGGGAATACTATGGTAAATTACAGCCCATATTGGCTTATCTCTGGTTTTGTTATCATTTCATATCGATAATCGAGGTAGGCATAAGAACTTAAACACCCGAAATAATGTTATCCAATAATCTCACTGAAATCTTCTCTGAACCAAACAGACATTATTCAGAGCTCTATTTAACAAAATCTTAACAAAAAAGAGATTGAATATTTCTCTTCTCCTAACCACCACTTTGTGGTAGACTGAGGTGTCCCAGTGTATTTTGATCATTTCTTTTCTCCTAACCACCACTGTGTGGTAGACTGGCGTGTTGCAGTGTATTTTGATTATTTCTCTTCTCCTAACCACCACTGTGTGGTAGACTGGGGTGTTGCAGTGCATTTCGATGTTCCATCAACGACTTGATAAAATCCAAAATTATCAGCATTTGGTACAGTGACTGGTGGATGGAAATCGCAACCATCTCCTGGATGAGTAATATCAAGATGAAAGTGCCATGAGGAACCGGTTCCATGAGCTGTATTTGCTGTACAGTTCGTACAGTTGTRYCCCCTTATGTCAATAAACTTGTACATTCTACATCCTGCAATGTCTTTTTCGTTTATAATGTCCACGTCACTCAACCGACCAATCAGAAGGTCAGGCGTCATGGAAACTCTTTTCGGGAAGTCGCATGTGGCTCTAAACAAAGTCGACGTGGAACGGAAGTGATTCAGTYTTTCCGAGCCCAAACGGAACATATCCCAGTTTGGGTCTTTGTTGTTTATAGATTTGTGAATGCTAAAGGGTTGTTTCTGGAACTTATCTTTAACAGTTAAATTGAATGACTCGATCAAAGTCCATGCCTGATTTGAACCAAATGCACAATATACTTTTAWATACTTTGCTTTTTKGAAGTGGWGTATGTWATAATAACCATCCTTTGGKGCTGTTTTTGAAGAAATCAAGACATCCATGCAAGATGTAACTCTTTCTTCACATATTTTGCCTTTATGTTCTTTCTGGCAGAWGCAGGTGAATTTTTCTTTGGGTKTTTGGCAAAGCTCTTCRCATGTCCCTCCGTTCATACAAGGTTGAGATCGACAGCAGCCATTATAGCAACTACCTTGCGRTTTTATATGGGATTGTCGCTGCAAAGAACAGAAATGTYCATCAGTCATTTTAATACAAATGCATGCATACCTTACAAGAAAAACTTGCAAAGATCTTACCCCCTGAAACTTTGTCTGCTTGAGATCAAAGTACACGTATCCTGMCTCAGCTGTAAAATTGTCAGCCTTGGAAGTCTTRTCCTCATCCAGCAACTCRCATCTTGYATCTTTCATCTGACACGCCTTACARCGACAATCTTGGACACAAGATGAGTARCAYTTGRCTGGATYATCRGTGGTGATGTTSTTGTAGGAGTATCCCTTGAGATGTTTTCCATGGAAGATGTCTTKGGYCTCTGGGAAAAGTCCTCCAGAATAGCAGGTGCCAACGCAGTGGGATTTAGATAGGMCAAGTTTGAGGCACAGATATATTATGGAATAGATAAGGTGCATTTCTGAAACTAAGAGACACCCTTGTATAAACATCGATGCTTTCAACCAGATGGCTTTCCATGTTTGGAATCAGCTTGTCCCTGGGATTTTTTTTTAATAATATGTTTTGTTCCATATTTGAAAMCTCTAGGAAAATGTTGACATTTTTATCATTTTTGATTTTGAGAAAGATAAAGAAACTTTTCATTTTTGCTGAAGTGTTTTGCCAGGGTTTCTGACATCGTCAGTGTAAAATGTTTCAGGTTTTTGCTTTATGAGAATAACAATAATATTTGTTTTGAATCATTTTTSGCATAATCGTTCTCAATTGTTCCTGATAAAGAACTCAGAGTAATATATCGTATCAAACAAAACTTGAATATCCATGAATTGTGTCTAGTTGCCGTTTTGCCCCCGTTTTAACTCTTAGCGGTGAATGACAAACTTTATGCTAGCGAGATAGCTTTCAATCACTTGAAAATAAAAATACTTGATGAAAATAAGCAAACAACTAACATTCACTGTAATATGATGAAAAAATCTTTTAAGAAACCAATCAAAAATAATTGAATATGAATGTATTGCAAGTTCTGTATTCGAAAAAAATCTGTACAATAATCTGGTACAACCATACATACCTTTAGAACGAACGGTTTCAACTATGACACCTATGACACCTGTCCTCACTATGGAGACAAGACATTAGAGCACCTTTTTGTTGACTATATTAACGAGGAGCACAACTTCTGAGGCGATTTAAGTGAGTACAATGGAAGAACTCGCGGTATATTGATTCATTTTTCTTTTCGTCAAATATTAAATAGTTTAATGTTGATACACCAGCAATATGAGACAATGTGAACGACACTTAACAAAAGCGGCACACAATAGTCTGACAAGTTATTTCAGCAAGGGTTCTGCCAACATTCTTGTCAAGGTTTGATTGGCTTAACAGACTGGCGATACTAATACAATGAATTTAGACAGGCTAGAATAAATATTGTTTGAAATGTTGGAAACTCAGTGGAATTACGTTGGTGTTTCTATTTTTTACGGTGTTAAATTTATCTTTTTACACAACTGTAAATATCGTGTGATAAGATTAAGAAAAATTCTTAAATTTCCATTCAGCTGTTTATTTATTAATTTTTTTATTTGCAATCATCCACGATGTCACGTAATGTTTTTAGATCTTTTTACACATCTAATGTGATGCAAAAATGGCACATACTCATCCATTGTATGTTYTACCTTTTTGTYGATATGCTCRATAACTTAATTCCATGCATATTATCTCCTGTGGTGGTATTAAAACGACGAGAGTTTATGAAATGACGATGCATTATTTTAATTGCCTGTTTTGTAATAAGTTGTTAAGTTGTTGTTTACCTAACTGGATTTTCAATGAAGCGATAATATTTCAGTTCAAGTTCAGGACTATAAGGGTGAGCTGCCGATTTAGAGTTTAGACTTTTAAAAATGCAATGATCCGTGCGCATTTGCATGTAGACTAAAAACTACAGACAGAGCCACTTGAATTGAAACTCATTGAAACCTTAAAGGGAACCAATCAAAATGCTTTATATTTAACCAATCAGAATGCTTTAAATTTAACAAATCAGACTGCTATAATTCCTCGCTCTATTCAATAACAACAATACGACCAAGTCTGTTTGGTTGGAGCTCGTTTATTGAAATCAAATTGTAGTCGAAAAAAGTGTGGTAAAAGTTTGAACAATTTATTCAGCTATGCTACAAAGGTCTACAAACTACTACTGAGTTATTTATCTAAATAAACCCTTGCCAAGTGACGTTAAAGTGGCTTCAGTTGACAAAACAAAACGGTCCTGGCATTCCAGTGGGATTCCTTTTTTGTCTCCAGATGGACGTGCAATTAAATTAATCCATGGAYTTCAGAGGGTTCTATTGTTCGATCCTGCCAGAATCCCTTTAGTATGTCTAAATTCGTAGTACGGGAAGTGATCTCAAAAAGATGTTCCAATACTCAGCATTTAAAAATGCAGTTTGCTTCTGACAGCTCGCCTCAGATCTCTCATTCTCCACAGGTAGATAACAGGGTTTAGGGTGGAGTTCAAAAGAGAAATAAACTCCAATGAGTGTGCAAGGACGGGTTTACTATATATATTCTCGCCATCGACTATCGATAAGTAAACCGTTATGGGAAGATACGATATGAAGCAGAAAATCAGAACCATCAYCATTGTAATAAATGTCCTTTTGTAAGCAGAAACGCTGAAATTGATCGAGCGATTTGAAAATATCTTGTCAAGTGAMACTGAYACGGGACTATTGGCAGTAAWAGATGGGCTTTGAGACGAAAATGCTTCTTTTCCAAATAGGCATTTTCCATTTCCTCGTCTGGAAGATACAGTCACTGATGAACAATGTTTTCCATGTTTTTCTTGGCGACAAAGTCTAGTAAAAATTGATCCTTGGTGATTTCTAAAATATGTCCCTTTGGCAACGTGAGAATCATCTGAAGGCTGTGTTGATTGCACTTGCCGAGAGCCCAATGCCATGGAATTAACCAGAATCGATGATGCAGTGGATGCCTCCTGAATAAGTGATGCCATAACCTTTTTTCTTTGACTCGTTGATATACTAACACTCAATATTCGTTTTTTAAGCAAATAAAACGACATAGAGTAAAATGACAGAATTACAATTAGGGACAATAATAACCCAGCGAAGATGACAGATGGCTGGGACGAAATGTAATATCTCAAATACGATATGATTACTGCCATTAAAGAAACAACTATCCATATACTAGTAATAACAGCAATCATACGTCGTTTTGTTACTATAATCTTGTAGCGAAGTCTCATCGAAATGGCTAAAAAACGATCAATGCTTATACCAATCAAAGTGAAGAGAGATACGCATACAAGGCCATAACCAGAAATAATATTGACGTTGTATAAAACGTTCAAGGTATTGCACAATCTCATGTTGATCACGATTAATGTTGTGGCAATAGAAGGCTGAACGAATGCTCCAACCAGAAAGTCGCTGAAAGCAAGATTACAAAGAAGTAACATCGAGGGAGTTTGAAGAGATGGTGTCTTCCAAACGGTGAAGAGTATTAAAGAGTTTAAAAATGTTCCAACTATTGAGGAAATTACAAGCGAGATGAACATGGCAATAATGTAGTCCAGGTGGTATTTGTGAAGATCTAGTTCAACAGTCTCATTGCAGAATGACATCATATAACGGCAATAAAATCGACAAACTTCATATAATCGGCATACATTTAGAATTCAACAATTGTTGGTCTTGTTCCGTCGAATTTCCCAGTGACCAGAGATATTTGAAATAACTGAAAAAATGAACGTCAGAGACACTGTATAGAATATATACCGCGATACTTTGATGATTTGGCTGTTACAACGAACAGCGACAACAACATACAGAGAATGTCGAGAGATTWCCAAATCATGACATTATTTGACAGCTGGTTTTCTAATAACAAGATTCAATATCAGCTTTCAGTTTAAACAGTTCTAYGGCAGGTGTACGCGGAGGCAGAGTTTAAATGTTATGAAGCGATTCATAAACTGATCACCTCCTTTAAGAGATCATCTAGAACATTTGGCTGATAATTGTGAGCTTCTCGGTGGTTTTAACGCATTCAAAAATTTGACAATTTCTGACTCTAGCTAACTTGAACATATGCATTCTTTGAAGATGTCCGGCCCTACTTGTAAAAGACAAAGGGAGGCACGAGAGTACACTGTAAGGAGCAGTTTTTGTTAACCAATCGARRTGTCTTTTAGTGTTCCACACTCTTATCGATCATGTAATCTGAAGGATGAGGACGACGAAGAAGAAAAAGAAAAGTCTTTTTAAGGATTGACTAAGGTCACAAAAACAAAAGCGCCACTCCTTGGTGCAAGTATGTTCGACGCTTTGCTAGTGACGGATAATCACATCRAAAAAAGTGAAAAATTAAAGGTTTTAAACACCAATGATTTCAGTGTTGATCATTTTCTGGTACTCTTGATGCTTTAGTAATGAATTCAACAATTCAGAGATCTTTGATTTCAGGATGCTAACCCTCTGCACGAACTTATAAGGACGTAAAGTGGATTAGGATACACTTGAGGCTTATGTAAACCCTTTATATCATTTTTCTACTCGCATCATTATAATTGAAAAGGCGAATTTTGGAATTTCTAATCGACTAGATCATAAATGACACGTAGATGATAATAAAAGTGTTACTTTTCATCTTTTACCGTGGGTTGTACTAAAAGTAATATCGTTTTTATTTTAAGCCATTCACCGTGGCAATATTTTCTTGACGGCTTGTCTCAAATCCTTCATTCTCCACAAGTACAGTACAGGATTAAAAGTAGAATTCAAGAGAACAATTATCTCCATTGAATGTGCAATATAGGGTCGACTGTAAAGTGAGTTATCATCAGTAACTGAAAAGTATATAGTCATAGGAAGATACGAAAGTAAACAAAAAAACAAAACCATCAACATTGTTAAAAAGGTCCTTTTATACCTGGAAACCTCAAAGTTTGTGTTCATAAAATGATGACTGGGAATCGGAGCTTGATGAAAAGTAGCAGCTCTAGGAGTTGTTCTTTGGTTTGAAAAATATAACATCAATTTCAGAGATGAAGATGCTTCTCCTTGAGAGGAAGGTACATCGTGTTCGATAGAGCGTGACCCTTGTTGAAAGGAAGGCGTCCCTTCCTGAGAAGATATCCCTTGTTGAACGCAAAATGTTCTTTGTAGATTGGATGGCGTCTCTTGTTGAGTGGACGCCTTTCCCTGTTGTGAARATGTTCCTACTCGAGTGGACAAAGTTCCTTCCTCAGTGGAAGATGTTCCTTCTTGACTGGGCCATRTTTCTCCTTGMGTGGAACATGCTCCTTCCAGATTGCAAGTTCCCTCTTCCAGAGTGGAAGACGACTCTTGCTGGGAAGTTGTTCCTTTTTGTTTTGAGGATGACGCATTTCGAAAAGAGGCTGCCTCTTTTCCAGTGCAAGAAGTTTCCTTCTGACACGRACTGTGGACTGGACTGGACTTGTGGACTTGTGGACTGGAAGGTTTCACTAGCTGAATGGGTGACACTTTTTGAGTAAAAGGTGTGGCTTTCTTATCATTTCTACCCCGACTTAGCATCTTTTTAAGAATAAAGAACGACCTTGCATAGAAATATGCTATAATGCAGAGTATTAATACCAACGTCCCGAAAAGGCTGCTTGACCTGTGAGGAATATGGTACCTAAAGTATGCCATAACAAGCATCGCAGGAAATGGTACGGTCCAGATATAAATAATAACACCAATTGTTCGCCGTTTTGTTACTATCGTCTTATAGCGAAGTCTGGCAGAAATAGCTAGATATCGATCAATGCTAATGGCAATCAAAGTACATACAGAAGCGTTTATAAGACTATATCCCAACATTGTATTAATATCGAACAAAACACGAACAATATCGCACTTTTTCAAGTACAAAAGTATGAACAAAGTCACATAGAGTGGTTGAATCACAGCACCAACAAGGAAGTCTGTTAAACCAAGGCTACAAATTAAAAGCATCGATGGGGTCTGGATCGATGGCGTCTTCCAAATGGCAATGATAATCAAGGAGTTTAAAGACACGCCAACAATCGAACATGGAATGAGCAATGTTGATGCTGGGATGATATAATCCAGTTGGTATTTCTCGGCCCTTAATTCGAAACTTGTGTTGCATGAAGGCGCCATTTCTTAGAAATGATTATGAATGTCTCTAGAAGAATGCGTGTGTTTCGTCCTGCAGGTGACACAAATCTCAGCAACTGATTTAAAACTCSTTGGCACACCTTATTCATACATATTCGATGGACATCTGCTTGGCATGCTGTCAATCTCGTCTATTACTTATTACACTTTTTAATTAAAAAAGTTTTTATTTTGTAAACTGTTGGTTACCGAAGAGTGTCATTCAAAAATGAAATATTTTGGCAATGAATAAGTTAGGCAAATGAATGACTGAAAAAAATTGAATAAACGAATGAACAAATGAGAAATGGAAAATCTAAGAGGCATCATTCATTTTTCTATATCTTCACACAATATAGTTACTGGTTAAAAGACTAAATAAATGTCCTTCTCTACGAATGCGTCCTTGAGTTTCAATTCAATACATCTATAGTGTTTTATTGATAGAAAAAATATATTGAGATCGAGTTTTGTCTTAACTTAGAAACACAATAAGTTATAATTAAAACTGTGAACATTATGAGTCATATACTCCCATGTCATTCAGCGAAAATTTAATTAAAGTTACGAAGATCAAATTCAAGTTTCATTTTATTTCTTATTTACAAAAGTTGAGGTTTTTTTTCTTTTTTAAGTGCATATGCTCAAAGGTTTTGTATAGAACAAATGAGGGTTATGAGTCACCAGATCGAAACGGCTGGGAAATTTAATGAATTTCAATGTTTTCACATTACAGCTTTATTCAAACCTGTTTTTTTTTTTTTCATTTACTCCACTATCAATACCCTTTTATGCAAAATTGAATGATATACTTTTACATATCTGGTATTGGTTTTACGAATGATGAATAGAGCTATCTATCGGATAAATCCTAGTGAAAAAAAAATCATCCAAAATATATAGAGAGGTAATTTTCAAACTCTTTTGTACTCTGTGTAATCTGAGTAATAATACTGCCATTGACGTCAAATAGATTTAATAATGATTTCTGGTGTGCAAGATAAATATTGTTCGGCTGATGATTGATTGAAGTTAACAGATCCCTATAAAGCTTTATGTTCGTCGGTTCATCTCTGGCAAGATATCGAATGCTATTCTATGATTTCAAATTACGGACGTACTAGAATGGACACCGCACTGTGTTCAACCACCTTCAACGTACAAGTTAATAAATATCACCCGGAATTTGTGTTTCCTATGGCAGTTTTGCTCACTTTGTGTTCAGTCATCGGTGTTCTTTTGAACAGTTTCATTATCTTCGCAGTTTGGAAGACACCAGCTCTTCATACTCCTTCCATGATAATAATTTGCAGCCTTGCATTGACGGATTTTTTTGTTGGTGCACTTGTCCAAACAGGAGGGGTAATCGGACTCATCTCTTCCTACTTGAAATGGTGTGATGGTGTACAATTTTTATCGACCCTGGTCATTTCTTCAGGGTATACTCTTGCTGTTGTTTCAATCAGTAACCTTGCTGTTGTTAGTTTCGATCGTTTGTTGGCTATTTCGACTGGTGTTCGATATAAAGCAATTGTGACCAAAAGACGAGTATTTGTACTTATTTTTCTGGCGTGGTTTGGATCATGCACGTTGGTTATCTCGATAGTTCGCTTTAGAAGTAAAATTCCTTACATTGCCGTTATTATACTCGTTTTTGTGATTATAGCATTATTTCTTATCATAATTTTCAATTCGATGTCACTTTATTTTCTAAATAAAATAGTCTTTAGAGTAAAGTACTCGAAACCTATTAGCTATCAAAGAGGACAAATGGCACAGTCTAACGATGAAGGGTTAAATCGAACTCAACTGGGATTATCTTTCACTCAGGTGCGAAGAACCTCTTCCACACAAAATGGAACATCTTCTTCTCAACAAGAAAGGTGTTCCACTCAACAGGGACCATTTCCCTCTCACCAAGGAACATTTTCCATGGTTCAACAATGGGMTTCTCCTACTAAACAAGCRACATCTYCTGCTCAACAARGAGCATCTTCTAGTSAACAACGATCTCCTTCCACTCAGCAAATAACATTTTCTACTCAACAAGTGGCTTCTTCCACTAAGGAAAGGGCTTCACCCACTCAAAACGGGGCTCCTTCTAATCAACAAAGGAATTCTTACACTCACCAAAGTGCTTTCTCTACTCAAGAAGGAACGTCCTCYGCTCACCAAAGAACTTCATCTACTCAAAAAATTGAAACACCTWTTCCTAGCCAAAACTCGAATCATTTTCAAGCGTTAGTACTACATCCAAACATTAATGTTTCCAAGTACAAGAGAACATTTTCCACAATGATTATGGTTCTAGTGCTTTGTCTAGTATCCTACCTTCCACTGATTATTTTCATCGCTTCTGATGTYGACATAGACGCGTTCCATTATTACTCAAAAAAGCCACTTCTTGCACATTCTTTGGAGTTTTTGTTTCTTCTGAATTCTTCAATTAATCCTGTCCTATACTTGTGGAGAATGAAGGATCTAAGAAGAGCTGTCAAGAACATATTGCCTTCTTTAATTCGTTGTTATTAGTTGATAATTAACGGTTGTAACTCAAGTAGAAGAAGACGTAGCCGTTATCCGAGTCAACCTTTGTGGTAACTCCATGCATTTGAGGCAAATTTCATAGAATAAGAAGAAATAAAATAAAATTTTTATTTTCTATATTTTATTTTATTAGTTTCGCTTTTCAAAATGAGATGTGAAWAAGGAAAAAAAGGACAGAGCAAGGCAGGGAACCCCACAATGTTAACAGCGTAAGCCAATTACWGTGGATCCTTAAACACAAGTTAAAATAATTTCAAAAAATCAGAAATAATTAGAAACAACATGAAAGGATTTGCAGATAAAGGAAGAAAAACATTACATTCTAATGGCATAAAAATTTGTATGCATTATAATGTAGAAATAAAAAATAATCCTAACGACATAGCTCATATTAAAGGTCTCCTTGGATCGTCTGGAAAAGAGTGTAAACTAAGAGAGAAAACTAAGCAAATGTGCATCAATTATCCAAGTTTATTCAAGGGTAAAATAACTCGACAGTGGCTCGTACTTTTAGGTATATAAAGGAACAACATATTCTGTTAATGGATATTTAAATACCAATTATCATCAGCGATCACGCGGCGAGGATTGACTGACAAGTTTTGCACCTTCTTTYAGCATGGTTGCAAGGTTATCCTTGTGTGAATCTAACGATCGACCTGCACTCTCCATCTCCATGAGATTAGATATTATGTCTCCTCCCGTTGTATGCTGAAGTAGGGAAGTTCAAGAATTATGGATGACAAAAAAAATGAAAGAGACGTATATTTGAGTACTCACAAGTCCTTGAGTTGACGCTCTTTCACCGGAGTCACCTCCGTCTTTCAGAATACCTTCTTTCTTSGCTTTGTCTTGAAGATCACATACCTCTCCATAAACCTCAAAACAAGAAACRACATAAATACACTAAAAATGATTATACTTAATAAATAATGATGATGATAACAATATCAGAATGGATACAGCGAAAAATATTCAGATAATCGAATAGATAAACAAAAATTTTAGTCGAACACTGGGTATTTTTGACAATCTGCATCTTTGAGAGGATGTTAATGGCACATCACGTGGTCTATCCCGGTAGGGAGCACAGGGATCCCAACAAATGGCTCCGGAAAACAGCATCTCACCTCGATCACTTCATCTTTGATTTTCTTGTATTCAGCAAGGTTATTCTCTAACGCATATATGATGGTAAAATAATCTTCTAGCTTGTCAATAGGGAAACTCTCAAATTCCTAAATAAACCAAAATATTGTATATTAGTAGATCTATAAAAGGGACATAACCAACTAGCAAGTAATGCGGTCTTGACGTCTGTATTATTGTAAACCTATAGGTAGCATAAATAAAATAATGTATTTGTTTCCTTTTTAACCCCTTTTTACCTTGGGCCGGGTTGTTCAAGCCTGATTAGCGTTAATCTAGGGTTAACTCCATAGGTTTTCTAAGAATTAACCCAGGATTAGTAGTAGTGTGAGTGATATCATTGTAGCCTGTTTCATTTTATTTTTATTTTTGCTGTAGTTTTCGTTATTTTTATTTTCTTTTGCAAAAAGTTCGTATATTTTGTTTTGTATATTAATACTTTAAGTATTAATTGGTGATGTTTATTAGATATTCATTAGATATATTAAATATCATATATTTATATAAGGAAGTGTATTACTGCGCTTTCGTTCTTCTCTGGTCAAAAACTGGTTTTACCGACAGCTRCGATTCMAAGTACAGTTTCATAAGATTCAATTGAGCTAAGGTGTTGTACAAGGAAAAGAGCTAACTAACTATTGAAAAACAATAATTAAGTTCTTACTGATATGTAGGTTCTTGTTTTGACAATTTAAATAATATAGTTMATTTGAGCTTAAATCTTTTAAAGGCTTTTCGAGCCCTTTTACAAATCTTGGAATTGAAMACGACTAAAAAAGAACAAGCTCGATTAGGAAGAAAACACACGATGCCATTTGACGTCACAAAATTATCAAAATGCTTTTAAAAACTAATTTTCTCTGAATACTCCAGTTTCGAATTCTCCAATGCTCTGTGTTAGCCTCACTTATGCGCAAAATATTCCTTAGTTGTGAGCGTAAAAGTGTGAGATTTCAAATCAATTCTATTGTCTTTCGTTTCAAATTSCATGCGTTTTCTCGAGCTATCAATGAAACAAAAGAATRTGTTACTTGGTTTTGAGGCTAACACAGAGCAAACCAGAACTCGAAATTGGARTATTGTGAAGCCCACATCAAGTGATACATGACCAARCTACCACTCTCTTTATATCAATACCACATTTTAAATACMAAATTCATGTCATATGCACTTTTAGTATGTCACTGTTTTATACTTAATTTTCTTGATATTATTTACTATTGGCTTAACTCTGTCACCCGAGGCTTTGCATTAATAAAGGATTAATTAAGATGTATAGTCATTAGAGAACGAATACTGCTAAAGGTTTTTTCTATAATTGCAGTTAAAACATGTCGACAGCTGCAWATATGCCAACAATGAAGTCTAATCAATTTGGAGATGCGAGTTGTACATTGCGCATGCTCTAAAGGAGGTGTTTGATTGGCTAGGTATATATATACTCTTATGTCACAGGAATAGAGAATCTGTTGTCAATCAAGTGGCTATGATTATAAGGAAATGATATCAGTTTTTGTGTGCGTAAGTACGCGATGTGAAGAGTTTTTTTTAATTACAATGTTACAAATCTTCGCCATGGTCTGTTATAGGAACAGTTAAAAATCACCGCATACCAGGACTTGACGTATTATACAGTATGAGAGCATGCTAAAAAGGACTCGCTCAAGATTTTTCGCGAATACTCATGATTCCGGATGGACGCAAACCATTATTCAGGATTTCGTGAATGACTCCGTTCCTAATATTTGTTGGAACATTTGATCATTGTCGTTGGGAAATGAACAAATAAGAATGTTTGAACTAAAATAATTACTCCTTGTTTACTATAAACATGAATTCGTTGCTCTTTGATCATATTTCAATGGAAATCAACAAATACGTTTCTCACTACAAGTAGTGCCGTTCTAGAATCTTTGATCAATAGATACTCTTCAATGATACTCTGCATAATCGCCCAAGGTAAATAATGATATCTCTACTCATCATTGCCATTCTAGAATTCATGATCTTTGTTACTGGAACATTTGGTAACATTTTAACTTGCATTGCTGTCTTTAAAAACCAAAGACTTCACAACGCAGCGTCGTTCTACGTGGTATCTTTAGCCATCGCCGATCTTCTRACATGTTCCGTCCTGGTTCTTATACGMGGCCTGCAACACATCGGCGAATACGCTAACAACCACTTCCTTTCGGATGCATGGATTTCTGTTGTTAGTTTTTTCGGTAGAGGTACTTTACTGGTGTCTTTTATACACTTGGCAGTCCTAAGCCTTGATCGCGTTRTCGCTGTGAGTTATCCATTCCTTTATAGAGTACATTTTAAGAATTCTGCTTGTAAAGTTATCATAGTGCTRCTGGTGTCTTGGATCGTGCCTATAATCTGTACCTGTATTGGTGACTATGTAGTGGACAGGAGAGAAAGCTTTATTATATTTGTAGTTTGGGTTATTTTGATGACAAGTGTTATTGTTGTCTCTGGAGTCAAGATAATGATCATTGTGAGACGACAGTCTAAGTTTAGACGCCAGCTTGGACGACCTACTTTAAGTTATATGAAAAGAGCAGTTGAAGAAGGTAATTATGCAACTGAACGACTGGAAATGAAAGAGAATGGGAAAAATGGGACAAAGGAAAAGGAAAACTCAGATCAGTCGATTGAAACAGAAGGGAAATGTGAAAAAGATGGGAATGAAATAGAAGGWTGTTTGCAAAGTGAGAGTGCAGAAATGGTAAAATCAGAGCAGCCCATGACTATTGAAGAAAAGAGCAAAATAAACACGACAAAAAGGGAATGTAATGGGAGAGAACGACTTGAAAAATCCAAAATATTGAATGACATAGAACATTTATATGGTGGTACTAAAAGAACGAAAATAGAACCGAGAATCCCTACTCAAGACTCGTGTCAAATAAACAGTATTGACCACAAGGAAATTGCAAAAACGGAAACAAAGCAAACCGAAAAATCCAGTAAAATTAAGATTGATTCCCTTGTATGTGAAAGCTATGCGAAAATCTATAACCTCAAAGACGGAACCGCCTCAAACAGGTGGCTAACTTGTGATGAATCTGAGAATCCTGGAATTCATGAAGACGYAAGCGTTKTTAAGAAAATGTCGCAATTYTGTCAAGAMAACAATGGTATTGTTCAGTTAAGAGATAAAATGAACAACGAATTCGCTATCGAAACKCTATGCGAAAAAGAGGAAATRAGAYACTCAAAAMAYATTCCGTATTTTGGAGATCCAAAGAGCTTTCTTTACGATAAGGAKTGTTATAAAAGTCAAGGTCCATCCGTCATCGATTCACTACCATATTCAAAGTCAAGAGCCCAAACCTCTAAATTGCTTAACRATAATCAAACGTCGAAGAGCTGTTCGGAATTATGSAATAATGTTGATCACGACGATTCTAATCACGAACAAATATTATTCTTTGAAAGGAACAGTAGTTCATCGAACAGGTGTATCGTACAATCAGGAGTTCAAATATCGACATCACCGGCTTGGAAAAGCAATAACATGACAAATGATATTAAAGAAAGTTCCAGTGAGTCAAGGATCAATCAGGCAGCCCACCTTAAAAGTTCCCAAATTAAGGATCATGASACAAAAGGTGATATTACACTATTAGGGTATTCGCAGCATGATAAGTCATGCAATGGAGAATATGCTGTCAAAGCAGAAGTAATCAATGGGAAGACTAATATGAAAAAATCGATGGGCAATCAAGAAACCCCTTTAATATTGRAAAATGAGAAGACTAAAAACCAGGAGTACGAAATACACAAGGTTGATAATGGAACAGCTGGGTTTGGCAGCGTGGAAGAAATTGCAATTTCATCTCAGCACAACAGTCCTAAATTGTACAAGATGAAAATGAATAAAAATGGTGAGAAAAACGAAGGGAGAACACTGAATAAGTCATCTAGAAATGAAAATCAACGCTCTATCAGTTTTCCTGACCTTAAAGAATTCAAACTCGGAATGAAATCGAACGGAAGCCAAAGACATTCGAAGAACCGAGACAAATATACCTCGAACCAAAATAACGGAGTTTCATTTGACCAAAATTCAGATGTATCAGTACGTCACGATAAAGAGTTTTTYGTCGATAAAGCACAAGACGTTTCTATACGTCAAAATGAAGTGGTTTCTAGAGCCCATAACATCCATTCCCCTTCAAGGCACAATAAAAGCATTATATTGCCACAGGCAAGTCCAGCCGCTCATCGAGACGTTAATGCTACTGATAGCAGCACAGAAAGTCAAAATAATGACGATAAGAATAATGCTAGTCGTATAAAAAAATGTAATTTTCTTTTAAGTGATAATTTGCCCTCAAGAAGACATTTGGGATCGTGTGATAAAGACATGACAGACACGTTTCTGAGTGGTCATTCATTTAAAGAAATGGATCACGTATCCATCATGAGTGTTCATTATGACGAAGACGATAAAGCAATGACTAAAGCCGYAAGTTCTTCATCAAAAAATGGCATTAGAATTATTGGCGATGTCATTGATGATTAYGATCATGAATTTCAAACTACGAATGAAATATCAGTACTTGAGAACAAGAGTATGAACCGCGTTCTTGCCACACCCTGTTCAGGGTCTTTGTCAGATTTATCAGACAACCTTCCTTTCGACTGTAAAGAGATGAAGGAAATCTCCAGGCATGAGATTAAGAACAAACACGTGTTTGCCACGCCCTGCTCGGAAATGAATGACGTTTCAAGGTATGACAACATGGGCCAGCACGTGTTTGTCACGCCCTACTATAAAGGATTATCAGATCATGATGAAGAAAGCAAGCTTGCAAAATCAGGAATAGGTACAATGGACCTTCAAAATAGTATTGAAAAGGTCTACCCGTCAAACGCATTTCAGCGTACAGATACCGGAAATCAAGACACTTTGCAATACAATYATTTTGACAAATCARCAGATGCCGTATCATTACCCGAAAGTACTGAGAAATCGATCAAACCAACTGACCATCTAAATGGTCAAGGGAGTGGCAATATCTTTTCAAAATCTTCTACAAAAATCGCACCAAAACCCGAAAACTTAATCGCTGAGGTGAATGAAGTTAGAGATTCAACCAGACGCACTGCTAAAGGTTTTCACTCCAGGCGTCCTTCCCTAAGAACACTGATGATGAGCAAAGAAGAGCGAAAAACAGCATTATCAATAACGGTCGTACTAATAGCTTTCATCTTGTTAGTTTATCCAAGACTTTTACTAATTTTTTATAACTTTTTCAACCCCAAATTGCCAACCTCTGCTATACTGACACTGTGGTTAAGAGTTTTGATGTACAGTAACTCTGCAATTAATCCTCTATTGTACGCATGGAGGATGCCTGAGTTTAGGAAAACATTTGTGACTATGTTTACTAAAGGGAGAAATAGAGTAAGTGTTGTTTAATAATTTTTTTATGGCTTTAAGTCATGAATAGTAGTTGTAGCCTCATTCGTAGGGTATTCCAACGAATTTTGGTCTTCCTGTGTTGACAATCTTGACCGAGAGGAACTGGTGTTTTCATTCTTTACTCATCCCCTCCCCCTCAGGCAGCTTGTTTGTCTTAACACAGGAATCCCATGTAGTGGAGTTGCCTGCGAAGCTTGTATAGCAGAGTATATATATTCCTGTATAGATTCATAATAATACTCATACTTACAGGTAGTTGGAARGGCATTTGTTTGTTTAATACTTTAGGTGGAATGTCATCTGGGCTTAATGTAGTAACCACATCATCTAAAACATGAAAAGAATATATTGAAAACCTCGGTAATCCGTCTTTCGATCGGATATACCGATCGGATGGCCGTAAAGCGGAGTTCCACTGAAGTAACAAAATGCATGTCATATTATTATAATGTTTTCAATTTTTCTATTGTACCCTCACTATGTTGTGTGTTTTTGTCTTAAAGGCTTATGTGCATCTAATAATCTTTGCGATCATCTTCTCTTTTGTTTTGCAAATGATCTCTTAGGTGCTTTCTGATTGGTTCAAAATCCAAGATGGCAAATTTTCCTGAGTAAAAAAATCGCGCAAAGGCTCTAGGATGCACGTGATCCTTGAGAAGTCCTAAACATTACAAATCATGAAATACTGTTAACTATGATAAGGTTAACGTACTTTCGGATTCAARTTTGCTCTTCAAATCATCGGCTTCTCGTTCTTTTCCCTCGTGTTTAACGTCAGCCATTGCAAATTCCTAAAAGTTGTTAAAAAGCAAGAAATTAAATATAAAACTCTAGTTTTATCTCAATATAGCATGCTTCTCATGCTTCTCTCTCTGTATAGTATACATTGTCGTACCCAGGTCCTTCTCAGTTTCCCAACGGAAAATCCAAGGCTCTGGCTGGAGACGATACCAGAAGAGCCAAACTCGTGTTGACACGTGGGAATTTTTGAACCAATCAAATCAAAGGCTTATTCGTCTCCAACCAGAGCATTTTGTTTTCCGTTGGGAAACTAAGAAGGATCTGGATTCGAGGATGTATAGTGTATATGGAACTCCAAACCTATGGATCGTTTTCACCCATTCCCATGAGATTCAAAAGATAAAAGACCGGCGGCCATGTTGGAGGAATGAACAATAGGTACTAATGAGAAATCCTTTGTTAAAGTTCCTCCAACATGGCCGCTGTGACGTAACCTGAAAACGAAGAATTTGTAGATGTATAGCTATATGAATTCTGGTACGTACATTTTCTAAAGTTTATCACAAGTATGTTGTAGAATAGCAGTTATTCTATCAAACTTACCAAATTGGTAACAACGACCGCGACCACTAAGTTAGCAAATACAAAGGCACCAATTGCAATGAAAATGAGAAGAAATATCCCTCCACCGATGTAGTTGGTTTCACCTTCTGCCTGTAGGTAT